TGAGTAAGATAGGAGTAAGATAATATAGGATAATATAGATAATAAGATCCTATATTATCTTACTCCTGATAGTATATACAATTTTGTAAATAATGTTTTATTAGTTATCATACTCATAATATATATTTTAGATACTTTAGTCAAAACATCAGCTTTAGCTACATTCCTCTTTGAAATTTACAAATTGACCTTTTAAAATGATCAGAATTTGTTGCATTCAACATAGCCTGAAAATGCAGGAAATGCCATTTCCAGGCTCTACATTTCAAAATTTTTGTGTGTGAGTACCCCCAGACCCCCCGCATCGGCTACATATTTCTGCAGTGGCACTTTTTGGGAGGCCACTACAGCCCTGAGTAAGGAAGGGAGGGAGGGAAATGGGAGGAGAGAGAGAGAGAGAGAGAGAGCGAGAAACGCAGAGAGGGAGGCAGATGCAGGGAGTGAGAGAGGTAAGGAGAGAATAAGGAAGGGAGGGAGGGAAAGGAGCGGAGAGAGAGAGAGAGAGAGATAGAGAGAGAGAGAGAAACGCAGGGAGGGAGAGAGATGCAGGGATTGCAGGAGTTAAGGACAGAGTAAAGAAGAGAAGAGGGAAAGGGGCAGAGCGAGAGGCGCAGGGAGGGAGAGGGATAATACACAGAGAGCTCTAACTCGGTAACTCAGTAAGGTAAAAGTTATGATTTATTTGCATCAGATATAAGATATCATCATCCGCCACAACTAACAGCAGAATCATGATCGCGCCAGCACACGGGGAAAACTGACACACCACTATAAGGCAACCTCTATAAAGCTAAAAAAACGCATTATAATATATAATAACGGTGGCAATAAACATATCTATATAGAAATATACATACAGCACTGCACACGGTACACGTTAATTAAGTTGTATACGCGCACGTAGGAACACAATCTTACAAAACGTGTATTGTATCAAATAGTAGGCATCGGATGTGAAGGTCTACTGGAAATTGTTATTTAAAAGTCAATAAAATATATAAAAGTCATGCGATTACTTAATTAGTAATACCAGGGGTGAATAATGATGATTCATCATTGCCGCAATTTTGTCGCAATAACATTTTCTAAATGAGGCATACAAAACGATATAAAACGGGTATACAGTCGAACGGCAGCATTTAAAATTTAAGCTATCTATTTATCTACGTATAATAATAACTATTCGTATACTAATAACATAATTAATAGTGGATAAAATCACTTCTGTGTCACTTTGTATTTATTACTTGTGTGTTTACACGCGTGCTGTGCGCGCGTGTACGTGTGCGTGCGTATGCACACGTTAATGTGTATGTGTCTGTGTTTGTTTGTGTGTATGTGTGCATGCGTGCGTGCGTGCGTGAGCGTATGTATACTATGGCGGAAACATGGTAATTATAGCGTCCGCTAGATGGCAGTGGATGTACTGTGAGCAAACATAAGTTAGGCAGTCGCAGTAGCGTTGATAGCGGGTTCAGGGGTGGGGGGGGGGTATTATAAATCATAAGGAAGGTTAGACACCAGAGAGAAGCTCTGGAAGTCTATCTTCACGTGTGATCTGGGCAGCACCTCTACGTTGAGCATTTAAAAAATAGAGTATTTTTGGCATAAAAATCAATGACAAATCAATGAGGAGTGTGTAATTAACCTATAATTAAGGCACCACTAGCTTGATTTTAACTCATGTAACTGCTTACAGAGAGCTATAGAGTAGTGGAACTACAGTCAATGATTGCCAAGATCGACAACAGCTCTACAGTAAACGATAACTATAGTTTCACGCATAGATATAGATAGAGACACTAGTATATTATTTCTATAGTTCCACGCATAGAAATATATATGAAAAACACTAGTATATTATTTCTATAGTTTTACGCATAGAAATATATAGAAACACTAGTATATTATTTCTATAGTTTTACGCATAGAAATATATAGAGACACTGGTACGTTATTTCTATAGTTCCACGCATAAAAATGTATAGTGACACTAACTAGTATATTATTTCGATAGTTCCACACATAGAAACGTAAAGAGACATTAGCATTATTATTTCCATGGTTCCACGCGACGGCTATAGACCACGCGGTGCCACTACGGTGTAACCATAGTTGTAACTAACTAGTTGAACTGAATGTTCTCTTCTTCTAAGATGTCAGATACGGCCTTCCCGAGGACGACGAAGTAGATGATCAGGATGACGATGGTGATGATGACGCCGATGATGCCGATGACGGTGGCGGCGATGTTGATTTTACGGGCCGTCTGTGACGCCTCTAGCGCTCCGACCTGGTCGTTGTTGGCTGCCTTCTCTGACACCTGTCATAGGGAGAGACGGAGAACGGTTATATTTTATAACAACCAATTAATGTTAGTGTGTCTGTGGTGTGTGCGTGTGTGTGTGTGTGTGCGTGTGTCTGTGTGTGTGTCTGTGTGTGTGTGTGCGTGCGTGCGTGCGTGCGTGTGTGTGGGTGTGTGGGGGATGTATGTGTGTGTGTGGGCGCATGCGTGCGTGCGTGCGTGCGTGCGTGTGGGGTGTGCGTGCGTGCGTGCGTGCGTGAGTGCGTGTGTGTGTGTGTGTGTATACCTGTCATAGGGAGAGAGAGAGACGAGGGTTGCTGGATGATGTTTGTATACATACAGCTGGTATAGCTGTATTACAGTAATGAATAGTAGTCAAACAATAGTATATATCTTATACCAACGTAAGGTAGCTCGGGGCTACTCCATATATATGTCAACGTCAGTGGCCTTACCTTGTTCGAGTAACAGATCGCAGCGATACCTAGCGGGCAGCAGCAGCACAAACAGTTGAGGATGGACCAGACCATGTAGGTCGGCGGGGGTGACGACTGCACAATCTATAAACATTAATATAATAGTCATTAATAAACGCGTGTCAGCACGGACGAAAACGTGAGACGAGTGAGTGAGTGAGTGAGTGAGTGAGCGAGCGAGCGACTGAGTGAGCGAGTGAGTGAGTGAGTGAGTGA